TCTGGAATACACAATGCCTCATGAGAAACACTGAAGGCAAATTATTAGCATGGGTGGAAACTCCAGCAAGAGGCATTTGGAGAAGGATGGAGGTCTGCAAATGGCAGGACTGACACTGTCAAGTATTTAGTATTCAAACTGTACCTGTTAGTTTACACCAGCCTGAAACTCTGTGAATTCATGACTTGAAGGAAAAGGCATAAAATACCCTGATAAAAAGATGTATTGTTTCAATTTGGAAAAGAATGAGCTAAGTTGTGATAGCATTAGCAATAGTGGCTGTCTGCTCTGTGGGTTAACAGTCTCATTGGTTTCGGTAGAGCTGCTTAAGGAGAAAAGGTTTACTATTGCCCCAGTTGGAAAATTAGTTCATGCAGCTACTTGCTGAATGTGTGCTGGTGCTAGAATCAAAGTACTATAAATTGTGTTCTAATGTTTGTGATGTACTCGTTTGCAGACTGCTGCAAGTGAGGAGAGGACCTCTGGTCACGAATTCCTTGTCGGACATGTTTACAGGGGTGTGGAGACATTGGGAAAGGAACTTTTTATGTATTTTGATCAGAAAGCTTTGAGGTAAGAGGGGAGAAAAAGGTTTCCTATGCGTTCAGACTGTATCTATTCGGGGGGGTCATCTTGTTCTTGGTAATAACAGTTTCAGAGATTTCAAAGTTAGCGTTACTGGTAATCATCTCACCAGCCTCTCTGCAGTGCTGGAAATACTGGATATAGTCACGTTTTCAAACAATTTACTGCTTTATTCTTAGTCTAAGATTCCATGTAAAGGTATCTGAAAAGGACAGTTATTCCTTGAAACGCTTCGTTTCAAACAGGAAGTTGCATTTTCTAGGGACAAAGTTCGGAGAAGTGCATGCAGTTACAGTTACTTCATGTCTTCCACTACAAACTGGACTTGCAATTTCTTTGAACTTAAGAAATTTAAACTGAAATTCTGTACTTAATTTTTAATGATTCAATTGCTCTGATGATAAACTCATGTAAAAAAATTGCCAAACTTAAAATATTCTGTGTGTATACATATATTTATGCTGTCTGTCTGTTTTTCTTCAAGCAATATTATCAACTTGATTTGGAACTGTGGTTTGAAGTTTGGTGGGTTTTGGTATCACAAATGTAACTCTTAACTTTCTAGTGAAACCGTGTCTCCTAGACAAATGGTAGAACTGCCAAATCATTGTTCATGCTTTGCAGAGCTTATTAGAGGTTTGTTGACATTTTCAGGATTTTGTCACATGCCTTAACCCCTTGGATATCTTCTTGTACTAGCCATCTAAAGTTATACTTGGAATCTAGTTTACTTTTTCTAGTTCAATATGTTCTGTACTGCAAAGTCAACTAAAAATAAATCTAACCAAATGCACAGTACAATGGATTATTTAAAAAAACTTTCTTTTTTATGTTAATTAGTATAGAATACATAAGTAAGGCCCTTATATTTAATAGGTAAGGCTTGCATTTGATGCTTTAACCCTTCTACTTGCAACATAATATTTCTATAGGGAAAACAATATCACTTCTACATTTAGCGTAGTCTTTATCCCCTAGTGACTGATCTTGAACAAAGGTGTAACATCATGATTTTTGTTTGTTTAAAACTGGTAATATCAGCAAATACCTTACAATTCTGTGACATAATATTTTGCCAGTGGCACCGCTGTTATAAGAGGGAGATGGAACTGAAAATGCTTGGCTGCAAGTACAACGCTTTACAGTGGTTGCATGCTCGATAAATAAAGGCAGTGATATATTAGTGGTTACCTGGGATGATGTGCTATGTGCTCGTTTCTTCTAGCATTAAAGAAATGCAACTAGTCTTACAAGCACATACTAGTCTTTACATGACCATCATACGGGTAACTAGTAGGACAGAACTGCATATGTGTTTAAAGCTGTCTGTATTTGTGAAGGATAGGATTAAGGTCCTAACCAGTCTCTCCTGCTTCATATTGTGCTTTAATAAATAGAAGCAGAGAAGAAAAAGCAGTTTTTAAAAAGAAAAAGGTAAGTCAGTTATAAAGGAAGATTTAAAAAAAAAAAAAAAGGCCAGGGAGGTAACTGATACAGATGTTAGCCTTTCTTTAAATGAATGTTGCGTGTATTACAAATTAATTGGATAAGCAAGGGAGTAAATTATACAATAAGGAAACATTGTTTCAACAGACTGAATTATATTATCAGAAGAAAAAGCTATTACTAAGAAATGTTAAGTAAGTATTTTGCAAAAGTTCTCTTCAAAGAGAAAGAAAAAGTGGCCGAGTTCTGGTATGAAAAATATAATCCTTTGACCCTGAAAGATCTTAAATAATCTAACTAATGCAATAACTTATTGTACTTAATGAAAACAACCTTCACTTATCGTTTGATAGTAAGCTTAAAAGTTTCATCAGTTCATCAGTTATCGTAGCTCTAGAAACTGTATTTAAGAAGTCCCTTTAGTCATGTTGCATATTTGATTGGAAACATTGTAGAAGTTATGTACAGGAAAGGCCACCTCACACAGGAGGCAGAAGTTACTTATTATCTGATAATGAAGATTTTCATTCTCTTGTTTTAAAAATGTATGTTGTGTATCTTAAAGATACTGAGGAGAGGTGGAGGAAGGCTTCAGAAAATGTATCTTACAGCAGTCTAAGATTGACCGGATTGTTACTGGGAGAGGAAATAATAAGCCCTTCAGAGGGTGTATTATTTCTTTATTAAAGTTAACTCTCACATAGAGGATTTTCTTGTCACGAGAAGGGTTACTGATATACAGATTCTGTATCTGTTCATAGTTTCTCAGCATAACACCACCAGCTTTTCTTGTCTGCTAAGATTACCTGTGAAGAGCTGGTAGTCATGCTGAAATAATGTTAGCCAGACATGTCTTGTGAAAGACTGGGCCATGATGCTCCTGCATTTTCTCAAGTGGGGAATGACTGCCTGGTAGAAGATAACCTGGCTGTGAAATTGTTTTGTATAGTTTGGCTGCTACTTGCCTGACTTGCAAATAAGAAGGATACTTCTGAGGTGTTGCCGTGTTGGGGATAGCAATTAGCAAATGAAGTTCAGTTCAGTATATTTGCAGTCCTTGGTGGGCAGTAGAAGCTTTTTTGTTTTTAGGGAGTACAAATGAGCAATGACACCTTCTGAAGCAATTAGTACTGCTACTTTTTGATGTCCATTTAAACAAGGATGTTAAAGTCACTGAAGAAAGTTAAGATTTTTTTGAAAATCTGAGGATTTTTTTTTTCTTTTTCAGTTTTGTCTTTAAAGTTGCTTAAATAATCCATGAAAGTTGAAAAAAATTCTCTGATACTTGCAAATTGTGTGGGAGAGACTTGCATAGCCTGCATGTTTTGCCATGGAAATGGATACAGTTATGTGAGAGAGGTTGTCCTGGGTTTAGTTTCTGTAGTGTGCTATTAATGTTAATTTGGAGTAATAAATGGTTTAGAAAAGTTTCTGAAAATTGATAATGCACATCTGTTTTTGCATAACTGAAAATAGACAAAAATGTTCTTAGAAAAGAGAGAATTGTTGACTCTTAATCCTTTAAAGGAAAAACATCCACTCTCTTGACTGGAAATTACATCTTGGCCCTCAGAACTTGATAATGTGAATTGTCACTGTTTTTCACATCTCCATATAATAGTTTGACTGTACTGCTACTAATCTTTTATTTTTTATAGGGAAAATAAATACTTCCAATAAAAGCAGATCCTTACAATATTGTGTAGCTCTAGATAATTCTAAAACCTCAACTTTTTCCGTTAAAAGAACAACAAAAATCATCAGCTCCTTACTACTAGCTATCATTGAGTAACAGATCCTAGGTTTAATTAGTGTGGCTTTTCTGTTTGTAACTGAAATGGGAAGATTTGTGTTTTGCCCTGTTTCAGGACATCAAAGGTAATGAAACACATGGGAGTGAAATTTTGTAAGTTTCTTAAGGCTTTTGAATGTAAATGTGTAACCATGACTTAATTATTTTTTCTAGTCATGAACTGACAACTCACGAAGGTAGCTAATAGTTGTGATTCTTAGTGCTCCTTTTCAACAGTGCATTGGAGCTTGGTAAATGAAACCGTCAGCTATTAATGTGAATGCTATTTCTTTAGAATGAATTTTCTGGAAACGTTTAGTGCATTACCATTTGGTAACAAGATACAAGAGTTAGTTTTAAAAAGAAATTTGACTAGTTAAGCCTGTGCAGTACTAGTCATGGCACTTGAGAATTTGAAAGAGCTATTGAAAATAAAAGTGGCTGAAATAACTATATCAACTGAACTGACTTGTAAGAAGAGTGTTTTGGAAAGACACAGGTTTTTAAAAATTGAAAAATATTAATGAATAAATGCTATCAGGAAGTTACATAAAGAGTTGACTTTAAGACCATGCTTAATGAAATGTTGTCTCAACCTATCTGTAAGTATTGAAAATGCCTATCCTTCCTGAATTGTAACAAAGAGGGCTTGAAGGTAAATAAGTACGCACCTGATGTTGCATTTCTTTGGCCATTTGTGTACTTTGATCTGTTAAATCTTTTTGTAGCTAATCCACCTTTTCTGATATAAAATATGTAGAAGTAGAGCACTCCCTCTGTCTTACATTTTTTTTAGGACTCAAATGTACCAGGTGAATTTGTAATAAATAATATATATGAGACTACAGTCAAACTTGTCCTTTGCTCAAGTATAGTAGCTCCCAGTAGAATATATTATAAAATGTAAGACCTCTTAAAGCATTAGTGATCTGTAAAAGGAATGCTTGAAAGAATCTGTTCTACTACTTTGCCATCTGTGCATTTTTCAGTTTGTTTCTTTTATTAATTTTTAATTGACCTACCTGCAGATTTTGCCTTAGTTGTAGGTAAAAAAAAAAAAGGCAGAAAACAACGTATGGCAGATGCTAATTACTTTATGGCATTATTGGAAGTAGCTTTGATATGATAACAATGTTGGCAGTGGGAGGACTGAAATTTTTCCTTTCATGCCAGGTGACTTCTGCCTGATGTAACAGCAAATTGTCTGGTAAAGTAGCCTCATTTCTTTCAGCTTCCCTGAGGACTTACGAACCGATGTTGGAAGACCAGTGTGTCTTCTAAGTGTGATACACCACGAAAGTGTGTGGTGAGGTTTGACTTGTCTCTAATGAATTATGAAGACCACTGGAAAACTGCTATGTTTTAGAGTGTTTCTGACTTGGGGAGGGTTCTTCCCTGGCAATTGAGCAGTATATAAGCAAGTAGCTTGTTGCCACATTACTCTTAATGACTAGAATTAATGTACATGCAGACTGACTTGGTTAGGTAAGAATAGTTCGTAACTTCAAAAAATAAATTACTGTAATGCCTGGAAACATTGTTAAGATAAAATACCCATAAGAACTCTCTTTCTCTCCAAGGATTCACTTCGGTATGAATGGTTACATGCACATTAATCCTGATGGAAGCAAAGACAGAAATGGAGCACTACCGGTTTTGGAGATACAGCTTACAGAGGATACTGTGTGTTTTTTTGAGGTGACAGTAGAGTATAGGTAAAGCAGAAACTAACCAAATTAAACACAACTTGGTTTATTTGTTTTTATAACATTCTTTTAAGAACATAGTGAAAAATCACACAGAAATTGTTCAGTGCTTGGATGAAAGCCATCATAGACACAAAGAAACAAAACTTTCTAAACATATCATAATTATTGGGATAGTAATTTAATTTTGTTACTTTTACATCAGAGTTTACATAACATTAAAGTAGTTCCATGCCATAGCCTCATTAGACAGTGTTAATACTGGGAATGAAAGTTAGATTTAATTCCGTCCTTAGATCTGAATGCTAAACCCCATTGCTCCTTTAATTTCCACACAAGTCTCACTTCCTTAAAAAGGTTGAAGACCTGTGATGATTATTGATTTCAGGTTTTTTTGCTCCCAAGGTTGTGTTTTTATTTTTGTTTGCTTTTTGGAAGCAAATAGGTGTAATTGTTCAAATTGACATTAAGTGGATGTTTTTATTCATCAGCATTGTAATTCTCACTACTCATAAAAATAACAGCCTGATTTGGAAGCATTTTAGGCTCTTGGGTGAAAAGGAGCATGTAAATTTGAGTAACGTATATGCATATTTAATATTACAGGACATAAAAGCTCATGTAAGCCTGAGACTTCTTGTACTGTATTGTTTTCAAACTATTTGTTCTTCAATTTACAGTTATGCTTAACCTAATAAAATCAAGGTTCAAGAAAATCTATCTTTTATTGTCCTAACTACTGGATCATGTAACCATACAGTTCGTTATGGCTGATGGTCCAAACACATGGTCTTTCCATGTTGGAAGTAGTCTCAAAGCAAGGACCTGTCAATTATTTTTCAAACTAATATGAACAAAATGAGGATGATTTCTTGTATGTTGAACCAGATGCATGTTCCATGCATGTGTCATTGACTTGTTTTGGGGAGGGGTGCTTAATGTAATTTCTGTGCCTCTTCCTGTCACTGGTATTTTCATGGTTTCTGTTATCTGTTGTTTTTAAAACCATACTGCTATATTAGCATATAATTAAAACAAAAATAAATCTTAATGTATTTTTCTGTTCCAGAAATGCAGCTGAGTGTGAGCGGAAAGTGAGAATGATGGAAAGTTTGGATGTCTGTTCTCCAAAGTTTAGCTTCTTAAGAGCAGAAAGTGAGATTAAGCAGCAGAAAACCCGCATGTTGTGTGATGTGTTACTGGATCAAGCAGTATTACCTGGAGTGGGAAATATCATAAAAAATGAAGCACTGTTTGACAGTGGTCTCCATCCAGCTGTTAAGGTGGGTGAAATGTCTCAAGATTGTTTTTAATGATACCAAAGTATTAAGAATGTAAATACATATTTATATCACATTTTGTCATCTTCTTTCCTTTGTTTTGTCATTTCGTTTCTTAAGTTAGATTCTGAGACACTAAATGAATGTTTTATCGTTATAACCGGAGATATTTGTCATGTCATTCCTTGGAACCTGTTGCTGCTACACCTGCCTCACAGAGTGGCCATGTTTTTTGAAGCTAAGCCTTCTCTCTCACAACTTGAAACCTCTTCTTAGTACCTGACTTTATCTGGCAGCCTGTTGTGCCACCATTAAATTGTCAACCTATAAATAAAGGAAAGTGAAGAATGCCCAGGTTTTCATTGTTTAGTTACTACCTAAAATAGTGTATGTCGTAGAATCGATTATTTTTGCAGCTGCTTTTTCCACTTCTTGTCCTGCTACCTGGCATCGTTTGCTTTTCTACCATTGTTTACCATACTTAAGTCAGTATAAAGGAAGACAACTGAAATTTATACGTAATGTTTTGCACGGATGAGGCGTAGTGTATAGTTTTGTATTCACAACGAGTTTGTATAGTATAGAATGTGAAAATGTACTGTTTTACTGAGATGCTTTACAGAGATACATATACTGTGAAGTCAGAGAATTATCATAACGGGAAGCAATGCAATTGCACATCAGCTGAAGGTGTTCAAAGCACCCCTGCATTATAGATCTTTCTGCTGTTGTCCTGTAGCATCGTTACAGCATAAAAACAATTCTTGTCTGTCTTACAGGTTTGCCAACTGACAGATGAACATATACGTCACTTGGTGAAAATGACACGTGATTTTACCCTGCTTTTTTATAAGGTATTGGCACATGCTTTCAAGAAACCCCCAAAACTTGACTCCGGCATGTTAGCTGTATGTGATCATCTAGTGAAAACAGTAAAAAGATGCAACAGGACAAGTGTTTCCATGAATAGGAATGTTGGTTTGTGTGCTCTTTATTAATTGTGAATTGTCAAATGATGGAAAGGTGGGGGAGTCTGGACTGTAAGAGTGTGCACAGCTTGGCCCAGTTGCAGCAGAAGAGTTTGACAGATGATGCCTGAGGGCCAGTTCAGTGTTGCTCTGCATGTGCTGTAACGTCACTCTGAACGTGTCAGAATTGATGGAGGTTTAGCACACGCTTATATATAAGATAACATAAAGGTCACTCTTCAAACTGGCACCTAAAGATGGCCCCAGGGTAGTATGAAGGTAATTCATGTGGCTTACTTTATGAAACTTGAAATAGCAAGTACATTTATTTGACTAAAAAGATTCTAACAATTTTTTTTTAATAACTGAAACAACTTTTTTGGTTGCTAAAGTGAAATAAATTCCAGCTTCTCCCTACTGCCGCAACTTCAGTAGGATTTGATTTCTTCTCTTGTAAACTCTGTAATTCCTGGTTGCTCTTTAACTTTTCAAAATAGAAAAAGAGATAAATTGTCCTAGTTCTTGTATGTTTTTGTTCTTTAAGATGCACGCAGAGAAATCAGCAGCAGTAAAATTCTTGTCTGTTTCCTCTTGGTATTCATGAAAGGCAAGGAGCTAGTGCTGCTGAAGAGTGTTTTTTTGGTAGGCTGGAGGAGGACACCTAACTTTCCTAATACTCTTTTTCGAACATAGTCTGCTTAAATGTCTGCTTTCCTCCACCCCACTGAGGAGTAGCTAGTCTGTTGGCTAGGGAAATCTTTTCATTCTCCAGACTTCATAGTGAAGTCTACCGGTAAAGGGATAGCATCCAGTTCTGAAACAACTATAGTACAAGGAGATTTAAATGTGTCATGGGCTTTTAGATTGACAATAAACAAACAAGTTAAACTTTCTGCAGCTCAGTTTAGCCATTTTCAACACTTTTATAGTCTATACTTAGCAAATATTCAGCAGTCAAGTGCTTTTAAAGGAGAACTAGACCCTCCCTCAAGTCTCTCTCAGGTAAAACCATAACAAAAATAGGTTAGTAAGACGGATAGTCCATCTGTTTTTTTTTTATAGACTCATAGAATGTTTGTGGTAATCATACCATATCATTTGTAGTAATGGTTTACAGATGCAAGTTGAGGGAACTTGTTTGTGTAAAAAGCTGTTGCTTTTGTTTCGTTTTTTAAAAAAAATGGATGGGAGGAAACTACTAATAAGAAACTAACGGTAAACTTTGAGGAGAAAGCAAACTGCTTGTGAATATTCATGCAAATATATATTAGTAATTCCTTCTGACTGAATTACTGGATTGTATCGGGAAAAACATCCTCATTCAGTGAGGCTGATGAATGTATTTTGGGAAAACTTGAAAGGTCTTCATGCGCTATGGAGCTAGAGCTACTGAACCCTGCTGGAGCTGGGCTGGTATTGCTGGGCCAGCTGTGGTATCATTTGAACAGTGCCCAAGGAACTGCAATTGTAGTGCAGAAACTTGTGTGGTTCTGCAGAGCTGGCTGCATCTCTACTGGGCTTTTCTTGTTTGGTTTTTTTTGTTTGTTTGTTTTGTTTTTCTGCCAGTTCTAGCTTGGGGTATGTCTGTGCTGGCTCCATGTGAACTGTCTCATGAAATGTTCCTGCTCGTCAGCTCTCTGGAGACTCTTTAGGTTACTGCGCCCTTTGGGCTTCTACTGTGCTTAATTTAATTTGACTTGCTGCCAGGATCTGGGGAGTTTGCCATAGTGCCAAGTGGCTTTTGTGAGCCAACTTGTCTGGTGTGGCCAGGGCTAAGATGAATCTGAGCAACTTTATTGGGCGCTACCCAACTCTCACAGAATCTTTGGAATATATCTGCATTGCTCAGTCCTTTAGGTTTTAGGAAGGTTGATTAACTCAGATTGTAGTGTCAGGTCTGAGCTGGCTCTGCGGTGTATTTGTGGTTTTTTTGGGGGTGAGAGAAGATGGTGTTGGTTTTGTGTTTTATGTATGTTTTATTTTTGTTTTTAATGCTACGTTGATTGGAGCTTATCAGCTCTGTAAGAACACTCCTGCAGGTGCCAGGTCTAAGATGACTGATGCTGAATCAGAGCTAGCTGGTCCAGCTGAAGTCAGAGAGTCCCTAGCATATATTTTCTTGCACCATGCTAGTATTTTTTTTGACAGTCTTTTATTCCATTATGTGGAGAATGCCAGACACATTATACCTGATTTAAAGTCAATTGTTTCCATAAAAGAACATGAAATACAGATGATAAGCCCTTATGAGTGTGCCTTAAATATCTTTATGTAGTCATTGAGCTGTCAGTTTATGTAGGTGTTTTTTTTATTTTATTTTAGCTTCAGTTTAACTGTAGAAGGACTGAAATAAAATTTATACTGGGTCTGTAACTTGGGTTTTAAACATGTTCTGTTTTAGTGCCGCAAAACTGGGTCTCCACTCTGCAAACACTACAAAGTATACAAGCGCCCAGCCTGCGGTCAGTGCAATGGGAAGATCACTGTGTGTCGTTTAGGAGAGAATAACAGGATGACTTACTTCTGCTCCCGATGTCAAAAGGCGGATCTGCAGCTTGTCAGTGTTAGGTATGATGGTAGGTTTGTAACGCTTTTAAGCATCAAAGTGCTTAAGAACCTCAAAGTGCTGTTGCAGTAAGAGGACATCACTTCTCAAATAGAGTAGATCCTTGTGCATTTTATATCTAAATTCACTTCAAGAAGGAAAAATGTTTTGGTCGTTGGTATTTAAAAATGGTTAAAAGTTTTGATTCTTTGATGCTATTTCTTTCAAAGGCCCCATCTGTTATGAAATAGCTATTACTCTAATCAAATGTAGGAAACAATTCGGAGTACTCAGAATTATTCACTGCTTCTGGAAAAATTGCCCCTTCTTCTTGGTGTTATCAATATAATAGGCTTGGATGTTTACACACAATTGAGTTGAATGGCATAAGGAAGGTAGGAATTTGTGTGTCTGTTTCTTTTCAGAAACATTCCTTCAGTCCTGGAATATCTAGATAGCTGTGCATCTATGCAGTTCTGTTCTGGCTGTAGACTTACACTGAGGATAACTAAAACTTCAGTAAATTCAGAGTACAGCAAATATTGTAGGGCTTAGGATTTTTTTTTCCTCTTCCTCCTCATCAGATTTGGAAAGCTTTTACTACAGGTGTGCCACAGAGACACTTCGAGTTCCACATAAATTGTGCTAGCAGCAGCTTTCTTCCCTTTATTTTAGAAAAGAACAAAATGCATTTGGTATCACAAAGGGTCAAAAGGTAAAAGTTCCAAAAGCACCTTATTCAGACGCTTACATATCCAAGTTATTCTTGAAAATTTTCATCTGACGTTTCACAATCTTGCCTTTTTATACTGAGCTCTGTCAATCTAATAAAAGATACTGCTTCTCTTTGCAAACTTTGCCTTCATTAGTGTGTGTGTTTGTATATATTTTTTGGTTTTAGATAAGATTTAAAGAACACACAAATCCCTCTTCCACCTCCAACCTTCTTGGTTGATGAAGATTCAGATGGCTGAAGGGATTTTGGTTAAAGCTTAAAAATCACCTTTAAGTACAGATCAAATATAGAAAATTCCAGTATAGAAGACAAATATTTCACATGCTGATAACCTAATCCACTGTATTTTCAGAAAGTAATAATGAGAAATGTTTTGCAGAAAGGTAGGAAGAAAGCAGTGTTCCGTGGAGTCAGATAATTAGAAAATGATGCAAGGAAAAAAAGTATCTCTTTCTCTGGTCTAGAACAAGCAGTGGTTTGTTTGGGTTTTTTTTGTTGTGGTGGTGGTGTGGTTTTTTTTTGTTTGTTTGTTTAAACAAATAATTAAACAGTGGTATATTTCAGTGAAAAACATGGTAATGGTAGCTGTAAAATAAAAAGGTCATTTCTTGTGCTGTCCTGGTCCTAATGGTCAGGTCTTTGTGTTCTGTTGCTCTGTTTTCTATTATGCAGTAAGTGTTACCAAATAAAAGTATGTGTAGCTCAAGTTGTTTATCTGCCATTCCAAGCTTTTTATGTTTGAAGACTGCCAAGAGCCCCTGTGATCAGACTGACTTGCTACAGATCCTGAACTGTAGAATTGAACCCACTGGTTCTGGGGTCAAGTCAAGTAGCTTATGATTTTGCTCAACTGAAAAAGTGAAGAAAATACCCATTATAAGCTTACCTCATCAAATTCCAATGTACCTTGAATCTTAAAAATACACTTTCCCCCTCATATTTCATGTTCTGAAATGGGGAGAGGGATGGGGAACGACACAACAGATGGACCAGGGGGATGACGTGGAATTAAACTCCAAAACCTGACATGCTGAATATATTCAGTCTAATAATGCATCTTTGACAGTTGAGTGGAACAGCTGATGTAATAATGTGAAAATACCCATTTTTAACACTTATAATTTGGCTGTTTTGTTATCTAGCCACAGTATTTTAGTGAACGCTACTGTCATGTCTGTTCTGCCTCTTGAGAGTACAGGATCTCTGGTACCTCAGCAGTTCTCATTATCCTTCTTAGTTTTCTTGTTGTGGAAGAGATGTGGTATGCAGTGGATATCCCTACCATTATCTTAGAAATCTAGCCTGTTAAGGACAGTGATAATTACAGAATAAGTGATAGGTCTAAGGAGTGTCACAACAGTTCCAAAGTACAGCATTTGCATTGTTAATTGAAGAAGTGCTTAAATTCTTAGGATTAAAAAAAAGTCTCCAAAAAGTGCATAGTTCCACAAAAGCTATGGAGAAAACTCTTGATGACTTATCAACCATAGCACTTAAAAATTTACATACCTATCTTACTGAGCAGGTAAGTTCAAGATACATTTAACATGCTAACAGTGTTCGGATACTATGACAAAATCAGTCCTTGGTAACATGTAGTGACTGGAAAATACTAACTATGATTATAAATCAGTGTATCAATGTAGGAGGTATTATCATTTACAGGAAAATAAATAAATCTATAGAGGTGTCTGGAGTACAGCTTTAGCTCACCAGTCACAGCCAAGGCAT